GTCTCGGCGGGCAGAGCCGCGCTGTCACCCGGCCGGCGGGGGCTCAGGCTGCTTCCCCGGCGGGGCTGGCAGCCGCAGAGGCCTGGGCGACTTCGGGTTATAGGCTTTGGGCCGCACTTTCCCGGCCTCTGGGTCAGTTTGGGGGATAGGGTGGCTGTTGAAGGCGGCGGCGGCGGATTACGTGGCTGACCTGAGAGGCTCTGCTGGCACGTCACTTCCGACGGGCTGAGGTTTAGCATTTTAATGGTGAAGGAGTAGGTGAGTTATCTTGGCTGCAGATTGAGGTGCGCCTCATTTCTGCCCTCTGGTTGGCTAACGTTCACGAAGTGCTTTCCCCGGCCGGAGCGGGCGTGTGGGGAACTGGGCTGGTCCAGTGCTTTGCTGCTCGCGCATCTGCCCTCAGATCCTTGGATGCGGGGCGGACCAAATCCAGTGTTCAGTAAACACTGGCTGAAGAACCACAGCCAGTTTCTTGCTCTGTGAGGTCTTTGGCTTGCGTTTCACCGGGAGAGCAGATAGAGCTTGTGGATGGATTCCAGGCTTGCACTGTAGCCTCCCAGTGTTTGGGAGCGTCGCAGATCTGGGATGCTGAAGATTTTGTGGAAGGGAGTGAATTGGCGGGGAGGGAAAGTCTGATGGTACAGATGTACTCAGGAGGAGGTAGTACTAGGATGCATATGTACACTACCAGTAGCCTAGGAAACTTGTCCCTCTGTTGCGAGATAGTCTTTTTTCTGGGGAATAAACACATGCCTGCTCACCTCAGATAGGGCACCTACACAGAACGAAGTATGGGTGTCACTGAAGTCTCATTTGGTGAAGCATGAGTTTTGCTGGGGTTATTTAGAGGAATATGGGTGAGGGGTTACTTAAAGGAGCAGAAATGACTCAAAGACGCAGTATCACCAGGATCCGCCCAGCATGGGTGACAGCTCACAAAGCTAGAAACCTGGAGTGCACCCCACAACCCAGAAGGTTGGAGGGTGTTCTTTCCTGGTGGCTCAGTGGGTCTTCTATTACCTGCTTCTGCTGGGCTTGTCTGAGAGTGGCTCTCAACAGTCTCTACTGTTCTCAATGTACTCTTGGGGAAGGGGGTTGGGAAATCTAGTCAGTTTGAGGGACTCCTGAAGCTATTTTGAGTTGTTTACTTTGTGTCTTATGGTGCTTCCCTGTAGTACTTCATTTCTCTTTCTGATACCTGTTGTTTTTCCTTTCTGTAATCCTCCTGTCTTGAGACGATTCCCTGGATGACGCAGGGTTTAATTCAGAGAAACTGCTATGTAACACCCTCCCTACTCCGTGCAACTACTGGCATGAATGTATTCGAGTGGATTTTAATGTGTGCCCTCCTTTTAGAGGAAGTGGTTCCTGTACATTTTAAGATTGTTCACAAACACCATGAAGTTTTGTTTGTTTTTTTAATGATAGCATTTTATGTAGTCCAGGCTAGACTTGAGCTCACCACGTAGCTGAGGATTGCTTTAAACTCGATTCTCCTGCTTCACTCCAGAGTGCGAGAATCACAGGTGTTGGCTACCCCAGCTAACATGCATATTTAACCCTCATACTTAAAGAGTCCACAGTTATTTTAATGTCAGAAAACACGCAGTGTCTAAGGTTAAAGATTTGGGACCACAAATGGCAAATACAACAAATTACTTCAAAAAATTGTCTTTTCTGTTTTTTGCTTTGCTCCCCTTTTATGGTAGCCAGTGATTTCAGGAGTAAATTTGATAATTACTAGTTTTCCTCCACTTCACCGCTGTCATGTTTGGCCAGTAGGGATTATAAGCTGCAGCAGTTGCTATAGTTCACAAACATCTCATTTCTAACTTAAGCTAGTTTGAAAGCCATTAACTAGTCTCCTGCCATTGTCCCTTAATCATGTCCCACTGTGGTACCTTTCCTGCTGTGAGGACGCCCCCTCCCCCTTTAGTCTTGTGTCTTGAGAATTTTTTCTGGTCCCTGCCCTGTCCCTGTCTTTCTTTTGAGTGCCCTTTGAGGTGTGTGGAGAAAAAGGCAAACAGGTTTGAGTTACCACGGTGTCCGTCTCCCAGAAGTTCAGTACTTACTGTAGCAGTTCGTTAGTAACTGTTAACGAGTGCTGCCAACCCACTCATGTAGTGCCCGCTTTCTGTTGTGTCTCGGGTCCCTCCATGAGTTGATGAGCTGAGGCTCATATGTGGTCCCAGGAGCTCTTTTTCCATTCTGGGAAGCTGGGTGGTGGGATTTCAGTCTACTTGGGTAGCTTTCTGAGAGGTTAAAAAGTTAGGATTTTTCAGTTACTTGGTTTTTCTTGTCATAGGATAGGATAGCCAGTGTTTTTATTTTTCAAGTTCTCTGTATTGCCAGGGAAACCTTAAAATAGAAAACAAAACCACAGTATTCATACTCTGTAGAATTGTGTTTTTCAGTGAAGGGCTTCATTTCTTAGAAATGTTTTTTCCCTGTGTTTGAATGTTTGATGTCTTTACATCTGAAACTTGCTGGCAGGGTGGAGACCTTAAGTACTGCCAACCTTGACTGATTCAGGTTGTTTTATATGTATATGTCCTCAGATTTCTCTCTCATGAATTGGACATTGCTTTTCTTTCAAGATTTCCTGCATGCTTTGTGCCTTTTAAAACTGCTCTTCTCCTTTGTCTTTGACTAGACAAGCCTTTACTTCTGAGCTAGTTCCATGGTGGAATTTGAACTAGATATCTTCTAAATAAAGGGGTTTTTGATGTGGTTTTTCAGTTTTTCCTAAACCTTGGGTAGCGGTATGCCTAATGGTATATAAGCCATTATAATCACTCCCTCATATTTAATTTTGCTTTCAAGCCCCGAATAGGTGAACCAGGTCACATTTCCATGCTTGTCTCTTTCCCAACCATAGCAGTTTCTCATGGTTCGGTTTCTAGTTGCTGAGAGGTTGTGAAGTTTAGTTTCTGGTAGCCCAGGAATGGTATATAACATTGGGGGCACAAGCTCTTACTCTGATTTCAGTATTTGGTAGGATGGAGTAACATTCTGTTTCAGCTCTTCTGGAGAGAAGAGGCAAAGCAATGTGAGATCTGTGAAAGAAGAGATGGGATGTGTTTGGTTAGTGTCAGAACAGACGTCAGGCCCCAGTTCTCAGAGTTGGTCCCTGACATTCCTTCCCCACTAGTTAAATAAGGGCCAGTGTCTGTGGTCCTTTAGACAACACATGTTAATTCATCCTTGACAATTTGCTCTGTTTTGGTCAAGGAAGTACTTCATGGTGTGGGCATTTGCTAGGGAGCTGCCCTGTCCTGTTTACCAATAGCTTGCTTCTCCTATCCTAATTGACCACCCTGCTGTCAGGTTTTCCAGCTCTTCGTCCATCTGAAAGAAATATACCTAATGTAAAAACATGACCATGTAAATTGCCGCTTAGCAGCCTTTGTGACTGTTTTATCCAAACATGTCCAAATACAGGCACTCTCATCATTTATGTTAAAGAACTGCCACTTGTTACCCTGGTGATGGCCAATGGTATATTGCCTTAATTTCTTTGGAATCCAGGTGCAGCTTTAGATTTTTTTTAAAATTTATTTTACAATACTATTCAGTTCTTCATAATAGCCACAGATTCCCTTGTTCTCCCCCTTCCTGCCCCCCTCTCCTTCCCCCCAGCGCCCCCCTCATTCCCACCTTCTCCAGATCAAGGTCTCCCCCGAGGACTGGGATCGACCTGATAGACTCAGTCCAGGCAGGTCCAGTCCCCTCCTCCCAGATCGAGCCAAGTGTCCCTGCATAAGCCCCAGGTTTCAAACAGCTAACTCATGCAACGAGCCCAGGACCTGGCACCACTGCCTAGATGCCTCCCAAACAGATCAAGCCAATCGACTGTCTCACCTATTCAGAGGGCCTGATCCAGTTGGGGGCCCCTCAGCCCTTTGGTTCATAGATTTTTTTTCATTATACTTGATTGTTGATCTCACTGGACCCCTATGCGTGAGTACCAGGAAGGCGTGTGAACTGTTAAACGGACACAGGCCTCTCCCCAGATCCAGTCAAGTGTTAGGCACTTGAATTCCAGAATACCTGTTGAACAGCCTGTAGAGGAGACCCACCAGGGCCTGAGAATCCTGTTCTAGTCCTTGTTATTACAGGAATTATTAGGAGACCAGCAGCATCTACACCAGCCTTGTCACAAACATGGGATTTCTCACTTGTCAGGTGACTTTCAGCAGGTTGTAGTGACATCCCGGTGATAGCTGTGCACAGAAAAGCTGGGGCCCTGATCCCACTGCTTACACCAGAGCACAGGGATCGTCCTTGTTCTGTCCATCTTCTGTAGCCATCACTCGTTTGATGCCCTCACCACTACTCAGACCTCAATACCTTTCATATGTGTCCCACCCAGATCCATTTCTCCAGCTCAGACATTTTCCTTAAATGTCCCACTGCCAACTTCCCACCTTACTGAAATATTAGTGGACATTTCAACTCAGCATTTCCTACACTGTCTGCCACATCCCTCCTCACATTTTTCCCCCTCCCGAGACAGGGTTTCTCTGTGTAGCTTTGTGCCTTTCCTGGAACTCACTCTGTAGCCCAGGCTGGCCTTGAACTCACAGAGATCTGCCTGCCTCTGCCCGCTGAGTGCTGGGACTAAAGGCGTGTGTCACCACTGCCAGCTTTCTCCTCACATATGTCATTGGCAGTCTTCTTTCTTTGCTGGTGGCATCTGCATTGTTTTCTTGGCACAGTCTGCCTCTCTGTATAATTCCTTTCTCATGCCCTGATACAGTTCATCAGGAAGAGCTCTAGGTCTTAAATACAGACCAGATCCATATTCCTCTTACTTCCTGCATCTCCACTGTTCATGCTGGGAGGAGAGACTTGACATTTCCAACCTAGTGGAGTTCCTGCAGTGTCTCAGTTCTCTTCTTAGGATAGAACCAGAACAGTTCTTTAAAAAGTAAAATTCTATGTTGTTTTGCTCAAAATTGCCTCACTTGAAGTAAGAATTCTGGTAACTCCCAATCTAGACCTGGCCATCTTCTGCCCTCAGTAACTGTCCTCACCTCCTAGAAAAGTGATCTTGAATTACACTGCTTATCATCTACTTCTTCCTGTTAGAGCATATGCTTCACAGGTTGAACATTTTGTTGCTAAAATTTCTAATCACCTGATCTTTAGTGAGTTGTAATTTCTTTTGGTAGAAGTTCCTGCTTTGATGTTGATAGCTGCTGACCAAGGTGGTGGCTGCTTATAGCTGGGGTAGCTGTGGTCTTTGATTGAGACTG